CATTTTGTTGGAAGATAGCAATAGCACTCGAACTTATATACTGCTTCACAGTGCTTTTACAGCCCTTTCTAAGCAGTTTACAGAGTCAGCATATTGCCCCCAACAACTTGAGTCCTCATTTTACCAACCTCAGAAGGATGGGTGGCTGAGCCAACCTTGAGCCAGTGGGACTTGAACTGCTGGCAATCAGCAGTCAGTAAAAGTAGCTTGCAATACTGCACTCTAACCACTGCACCACCATAGCTATGCACAGATGTTGCGTAGGCATTCTGTTTTCTTGTTCTGATGTATGGGGTTGCTGCAGTGTGTGCTTGTCTGAATAATGTTCTTACACAGCTCCTCTTGTAGGAGGTTGGATTGTAACTTTGGTAATGGATTGCATCCTGAGATTATGAATAGGATTTTTGGCTCATTGAGGTTGTCCACATGCATCCTTGTTACATCCTGGATGCAAAAGTAGCCAACTACTAAGTGGTGCGTACGGTTAGTTCTTGTATATCCTGTTTAACAGTGGTCAAGAAGATAACTTTAGATTTAAATGCTATAAATACCGTTTCCCTGAAAATAAGACCTCCCCAGATAATAAGCCCTATCATGGTTTTGAGCGCATGTGCTAAAATAAGCCCTCCCCTGAAAATAAACCTTTCCCAAAAATACTGTAACACAGCAGCAGCCGTGAGGTGCCCATGCTCGCAGCCACCTGCACCTGAAAAATAATAAGACTCCCCGAAAATAAGGCCGTGCTTACTTCAAGGGTCAAAAGAAAATAAGACCCTGTCTTATTTTGGGGGAAATACAGTATTAGGTGGCATTATTTTTATTAAATGCATCAATATGTAGTGATGATCCAACATCCAAAAGCCTGGATTTTTAGATATCATACATGGGCTCTTTTGGGTTACCGTGTTGCAAGGAGTTTGCAGAGGAAGAATATTTTATTGATCCAGTTTAATTTTGATAGTATATTTTCAGAGGCTTATATGTAACCTTTTGGCCTGCATCCCATGATTTGTATCCTGTTAGTTGACATCTATGTAAAACTGTTAACAGAGATCACTTGAAGATCAACAGTAAAATTTTATTGCCTAGGATTGCGTAGGCAATAAATGCAGAATAGTCATTGCCCCAAAAGATTAAGCAATTTATTCTAGCAATTCTTTTTTGTAAGCTACTATATGCAAATGCTTTTTAGGGGAAAATTTGGATATCATTTCAGTCAATTAAATTTCTTTCTAGAAATACAATCCTTAAATCAGGGCTGATCAATATACAGCTTGCCAGATGAAACTGAATTTGATTCCCCATCAATCCTCACCAGTGGGATCATTAGTGAGAGATGAAGGAGTTGCAGTTCATCCTAAATCTAACTCATTCCTGTAAATCATGGGATTTGCCTCTGCAAGTTGCTTTCAAATTTAATCAATTTCACTCTATTACTTTTCAATTTTTATCTTGCATACAAGGCATATATAAAAATGAAATAATTAAAAGAATGCATATTTTTTTCAGTAGTGTACAGTATTGTGTTGTATGCATTATTTTACTTTACCTAAGCAGTGTTCTCTGTAATTATCTTTTTAAATGACTATGGAACATCTCTGTTCCATAATTTTTGTTTGGACATTGTTTTCTAGGCTGCAGCAAGACATCAGTGCTCTTACTTGGTAAATCTTCATGTCAATTATTTTCTACAAGTTGGAGGAGATCCTAAATGGCTGAATGGTCTAGAAAATGCACCTCAAAAGTTGCAGAAGTTGGGTGATTTGAATAAAATTTTGGCACACAGACCTTGGCTCATTACAAAGGAACATATTGAAGTAAGTGTGTTTCTTGAATCTATAATGATCTTATATATTTGAAATGGCTGCCATTATTCATCATTCCATAATTCTTAAACTACGAATTTAATGTTTTTTATTCAAATTTAAGTTATTACAGAATCTGTTTCCAAATCACTTTAATGAACTCAGCAGGGTTTTCCCCCCATCACTTGTTGCAATTTTTTTTTTAAAGGTTCTCTTTGTTTTTACCAGCTCAAAATGAAACAAGAAAAGACATCCATCCTCCCCAGAAGTGCAAAATTGTATCTGTTTTCATTATATTTTCTCTTCAAAATTTTTGAGTCCTATAGCACCTAATGACTAAATTGTTCCTGGATGTTTGACTTTTACAGTATTCATAGTTGTTAAAATATATTGTTTCAAATTCCATTTCCTGCATAGACTTTGTGCTTAATCATCCTTCACCACTGCCTGCTTTTTATTTATTACATTACTGTCCTAGATCTGTAGAACAAACAATAATACAATACAATAGCAGAGTTGGAAGGGACCTTGGAGGTCTTCTAGTCCAACCCCCTGCCTAGGCAGGAAACCCTATACCTTTCCAGATAAATGGCTATCCAACATCATCTTAAAGACTTCCAGTGTTGGGGCATTCACAACTTCTGGAGGCAAGCTGTTCCACTGATTAATTGTTCTAACTGTCAGGAAATTTCTCCTCAGTTCTAAGTTACTTCTCTCCTTGATTAGTTTCCACCCATTGCTTCTTGTTCTACCCTCAGGTGCCTTGGAGCATAGTTTGACTCCCTCTTCTTTGTGGCAACTCCTGAGATATTGGAACACTGCTATCATGTCTCCCCTAGTCCTTCTTTTCATTTAACTAGACATATCCAGTTCCTGCAACCATTCTTCATGTTTTAGTCTCCAGTCCCCTAATCATCTTTGTTGCTATTCTCTGCACTCTTTCTAGAGTCTCCACGTCTTTTCCACATTGTGGCGACCAAAACTGAATGCAGTATTCCAAGGGTGGCCTTACCAAGAATGTACACGGTGTAATTTTCATAGCCACCAAATGAAAATGGGCTATAAAATATTTAACATGGCTTTCTGCATTTTAAAAGGACTCTTTAGAATGGGGCACACTTAACATTCTCTTGTTGTAGTATGTTTGATATACTGTGGACTTACATTTGTGATATTACTTGTGGTGTGATGGTTATAAGTTTGTTATGGAATATAAGGGAGAGACTGCTTCAGAGGGTAAAAAGGTAGCGGAGCTTCAAAAGTCTGCTAGTAGTTTACAGAGTACATCTATAGTTATGCAGATATTTGCTTTAATCTGGCAAGAGTCTGTCTGTAGGTGAACAATAAAGAAACTTCTCAGAAGTAATTCCACACGTCAGTTGGTTCTTGGGGCCTGATGCTTTTTCCCTGCTTTTTCTTTTAAAGCAACTTCTAAAAACCGAAGAACACAGCTGGTCATTGGCAGAATTGGTCCATGCTGTAGTACTCCTCACACACTATCACTCACTTGCTTCGTTCACTTTTGGCTGTGGAATCAATCCAGAGATCCATTGTGATGGCGGTCACACTTTCAGGCTGCTCTCCGTTGATGGTTATTGCATTTGTGATATAACAAATGGCAATCATGATGAGTATAAGATGCACACCCCCGATACAGATATTACAGTGAGTATTATGTTCTGAAAGGTTGAGTGTGTTTACCTTTTTAAAAGGCACCTGCTTGTTGTGGTGTATATTTGCAAAGTTGTACAACTTGCCTTTCTCTCCTTCATTCCTCCCTTCTCCTTTTTTTAATGGAGAAAATGAATACTTTAAACTATCAAGTAAATCTCTATAGAAATGCAAGATGAATGCTACAAAGGGGAATACTGAAATGGAGTATCTGTTACTTAACCATTGGAGGAGACTTCTTTATGACTTTTTAACCATAGTGTTTGAACACATGGATCCTGGGACATCAAAAGAAATTGAGAGAAAATTGTTAGAAGTCAAAAGGTGTGGGAAGAGGCTGAAGGCAATCTAACTTGAATGTAGTCTAGAACATAACATGTTATTTCAGCTGCACCTTTTATTCTGTTACCAATAGTGTATATCTGTTAATACATGTTAACAATATTTCCTGCAGCAAATGCAGTGTGTTAGATATAATTGCATGCCAGGAAGCCCAATTGGCTTGAGATACAGACTCGGATTCCTGTCAATATGAGCTAGAAGAAACATCAATGTTCAAGAAATGTTTTTCTTCTAAGAGTTGGTCTGACTTTTCTAAATTAGCACCTGGAATTATCTGATATATCCTCTGTAAGACAAAGAATGGTTGTAAGATTTTTATTTTTCAAGATTATATGATTGAAGATAATTATAAAGTTCTTAAGAAGTGAACAGTGTTTCTGTTTGCATTATGTTGGTTTCATTAAAAGAAACAGAAATAGTCACTCAGTTCTTAGTTATAAGAAGTATTGGGGCTATGAAGTGTATCAGTTAGAAACGTGGTTTGGCACTCAATTGAGACTTTATTAATAATAATGCAAGGCCTCAGCTTTTTTCAAATTTGTTCTAGCAAGTTCAAAATAAAGAATTAGCTGTATAATAGCAATCAGAATTACAGGATATTTAATGTTACTATCCTGTGATGTAATGCCTTACTAAGGAACCACTGCTAGCAATTCCTGCCCGCAAATATATTTATGCATCAACTTTACATATTCTCATTTTGGGACATTTAAAAATTCCTTCAAGTAGTAAAACAATTTCCACGTATCTGCTATGCAAAAGATAAATTGTTCCTTTAATTAAAGCATTAGAAAAATTGTATTTGCTTTCTTCTTAATTCTATACATAGGTATCCTAAAAAAGTTGCAAGTACTATGTTAGGTGTAAAATAGAACATCTGGTGCTTATCATAATAGAGTATCAGTGCTACATTGCAATTTTAAAAATGTTGCTATTAAAGACTCCCGAGCCCTCCTGTGAAGTAGAAGCACTTATGGAAAAAATGAAGCAAATACAGGAATGCAGAGACGATGTTGAAGCTAGTCAAGAGGAAAAGGCCACCCGATTCGAGAAGGAGAAGAGAGAAAGCATGTTAGTGCGTTGCTCAGGTCAGAACGTATTTTGTATTTATTTTTTAATTTCACATGTATATTTATCAGTTCCGGTATTTATACTTCATTATTCTGTAACCTAAATAGTTAATCAGGACAACAATAACTGCTCTCTTCTAAAACCAGGGTCAGAACGGGGCAGAATTATCATCATCATATTCATCCAAACTTACATTCCAACCCAGCACACTCTAAAAAGTTCTGACAATCGGGCAGTAATTTTTAGAAAATTTGTGCCTAAGCTACCAGCCCTTAGTATAATATAGGCCTGAAATTACTTCCTTTAAAAAATCAAGAATCCAACTGTCCTTCAAAAAGTTGTTAAAATATCTCACAACTCAAGTCAGATTTCTTAAGCCAGGTGAACAATAATACAGAAAAGAAATGTCAGAGATTGCCCAAGCGTTCGTCAAAATGAAAAATATAACATCTTAACTAACTGGTGTCTTCTGATTTGCTGAAAAATGCAATTCAGGTTGGCACAAATGGAAAACTTGCGCACCCTAAGCCAGATGTCGCAAAACTGCTGCCTTTCAAAAGTATTAGGTTTCCAGCCACAAAATTCCCAACTAATGTATCTGTTGGCTGTGTGATTCACAATTCAGGAACTTAAAAGAACATTAGATTTAGTAAATGCAGTGAAATCTTGATTTATCTTGATGAAAATGATTTTATAAGGCTCAGGCCAATTTTCTGCACAAATTGATATCATTTGCATAATACTACACACACAAAGTAAATAATATAATTTGTCATTTGTGAAACAGCACCATTATGCAAATGACATAAATTAACACAAGTGACATAATTAGGGTAATGGTATCAAGCAGACATGCAAATAGTCACATTAGCACTTGCCAGTTTAACAGACATTCATTTTATAACAATCATCCTTAAAATTAATCTGTTAAAACTTAAGAGGTTTAAAAAATGGAAAGATGCATAATCACTAATAGGACAAAACAGATTTTTTTATATAAATAAATGTGAATTCATTAGCTCAATGGAATAGGCCAGCAAGTTTGGCTCTCTCTATTCAGTCATTTCATTTTAAACTGAAGGCTCTGTATGGACTTAAAATACCTCTTATCAAATGATAAAAATGGTTTTGTGTTCCATATCATAATAAGTTTTCAATAGCACTAGGAAATATTGAAAATGTTACACTCGAAACCAGAAATCTGCCCTTATATCATGTACAAAATGACAATTCCATGTGTGTAGGTATAATAACCACAATGATTTAATAATTGTTGATAAGGAAAACAAAAAAATCTGGAAACTGAATGTTACAGTAAATCAGGAATGCAGGGATAGGAAAGAAATAGAAAATAACAAAATACAAAGACCTACAAACAGAAGTAAAGTGACTATGGTAAAAGAAAGCAAAAGTAGTACCAATAGTGACAGATCCCAAAACACCTGGAGCACCTCTTGAACACCATCATCGCATTGATAAAATTGCCATTAGTCAGTTGTAAAAGGCAGCTTTACTTGGAACAACTTACATCCTGCGATATCTTTTAACATCTTGAGAAGGGTTGGATTGGTGGATTAAAATGCTAAATGCCAATATTTGGTTGACTAATCTCAGTCAAGACCTGTTACATGTAGGTCTTTATAGGCATCGACCAGAATTTTGAATTACATCCAGAAGCAAATTGGCAACCAATGCAACTCATAAAGTGCAGGGGTTACGTGAACATATTAATACATGCCCATCACTGCTCGCACCATTACCTTCTGGATCAATTGAAGCTTCGGGGCGGTCTTTAAGGGCAGCCCACATAGAATGCATTATAGTAATCAAGCCACGGGTTGACTAGGGAATGAGTGACTGTCTACCAGGCCCCTTCAATCTAAGAAATATGCAATGGTGTACCAGATAAAATTGTGCAAATAGCAATGTGTGTGTTTTTGGCATGCCCAAGCCAAGGCTTCTGTTCACTTGGTTCATTTTCCCTGCCTGTCAGCTCTCAGAGAAAGGGTGCTCACAACCAGCCTCTAGAATAACTTAAGACTTATAAACAGAAGAACTGACGTATTTACAGTATGGAACTTATAGCCCAAAAATTGCAGTGGCAGCAATTACCATACAGCTAAGCTTGTATAGTTGGTTCATTGCCACTAAAGCGGTGAACCTTTCTAATATGCTTGTAGACTGGATGTTAATGGTATCTACCCTGTCAATCTGCTTATGGAGAGGAAGTAAGATCATAAGCAAGGATCTTTGATGCTAATTCCTGGTCCTGTGTACCTTATTGACCCCTTTCACAGTAATTAAGCAGGAGTTCATTCTCAAGGGCTAGTTTTCTCATATTTGGAAATAATTACAGAAGAAAATAAGCTTGCCCATTTTTAATTTGCTACCACATAAGTGACATTCAAATAAGTTACAGCTCTCCGTTTCAACATATATTGATATGTTCAATCAACATATATTGATCAACATATATTGATCCTTGTTATTAAAAGCAAAGGTTATATGGGGAGGAATTTCAGTACTGCATTTCTGAAGAAGCTATATTTTATCTGCAAAATGCTTTTCCTGTATTGATTACAGAAGTTATTATAATTTGGCAATGGGATTTAAGCTGTTTTTGTGAAATTACTGTATTTGTTGTCCCAAAAGTGCTTTTTTCCCCCCAAGAGGCAACTGGACTCTTGGGGGGGGAGGGGGAATCACCTTTGAAACAACCATGACCTGGATGACTGAGAATCTCCATAGATATTTACCGTATTTGTTACATATTTAACAGAAGATGAAGAAATATCACCTACAAGAGATGTATCTCGTCACTTTGAGGATACTAGCTATGGTTATAAAGATTTTTCAAGACATGGGATGCATGTACCTACCTTCCGTGTACAGGTAAATCATATATTATCAGTAACAAAATGTAAAGTGTTCCCCAGAATATTAGTTGTATAAAGTACACAGAATATTAGGTATATAAATTACACATATCTTTTTTTTTATAACTTTAAAATAAGCATAGGCAATTTGATGTCCTGCAGGTTTGAACATTTACTAATCATTCTTAGGCAAGGGGATTATATACTGAAAGCTATACAGATAGTCCTCAACTTATAACCATTCATTTAGTAACCTTCCAAAGTTACAGCAGCACTGTGACCAGTCCTCATACTTACAACTGTCATAGCATTCCCACTGTCAAGGGATAATAATTCTGGCACTTGACAGTGGCCATGTATTTAGACAGTTGTAGCATCCTGGGATCACGTGGGGGGCAATCATCGTTCCAGCCAGTTTCTGACAAGCAAAGTCAAAGGGGCAAGCTGAATGATGGCATGATTCACTTAACTGCAGTGACTCACTTAACAAACCTAGCAAAAAGCGCCGAGGTGGCACAGTGGTTAGAGTGCAGCACTGCAGGCTACTTCGGCTGACTGCTAGTAGCAGCTCGGCAGTTCAAATCTCACCAGCTCAAGATTGACTCAACCTTCCGAGGTGGGTAAAATGAGGACACAGATTGTTGAAGGCAATATGTTGACTCTGTAAACCGCTTAGAAAGGGCTGTAAAAAGCATTATGAAGCGGTATATAAGTCTAAGTGCTATTGCTATTCGTAAAAGAACCTAGCAAAAAAGTTCACAAAATGAGGCACAATTCACTTTAAAAATGCCTTGCTTAGGAATGGAAATTCTTGTCCCAATTGTGGCTCCTAAGTGGATGACTATCTGTAGTTGAAACCAATGGAGAACAAGAGAATCCATGCTGTTGGAATACATAGCAATTATCTCATTAATTTGTATTTTAAAAATGCTATATATATGAAAACATATATATATATATATATATATATATATGTTTTCATATATTCATTCATTCATTCATTCAACTTTGTCAAAGTTGCTTCCATCTACCTATTTTGCTTTTAAGGACTATTCGTGGGAAGACCACGGATATTCTCTGGTAAATCGTCTCTATCCAGATGTAGGACAACTAATAGATGAGAAGTTTCAAATTGCCTACAACTTGACTTACAACACAATGGCTATGCATAAAGATGTGGATACATCAATGCTTAGGCGTGCAATTTGGAATTACATCCACTGTATGTTTGGAATAAGGTTGGTCGAGATCTGCTTTAGTTATCTATTAATTTTGGAGATTTTGCTCCTCATATTGCTTGAACACATATTATGGAAATTTGTATTAAAAAATCTACATCAAAAGCCATGAGCATACAATCTATGAACTGGATAAAATAATTGCATTGGTAACTTCTTACTAACAAACACTTTTAAAGGCAAATTCTTGATACCAATTGTGCTTGAGGTAAGAACCTTGTATCCCAAGAAAGCTAACTAGCTAAAAAAGCTAAAGCTAAAAGTAATTCTAGAAAAAAGGTTTTGTGTTGCTCTCAAATCCATGGCTAGAAGATACTAAGAAAGCTGTCAAGGAAAAGCAGCAGATCCAAAAAGGCAAAAGACAGCTGCAGTACTCTGAAAGTCAATATTTAGATAGGACTACATAGAGTAGAAGATGGAAACAGGGCAAACCACCCAAAAAAGGGGACATGTGCTGTTTCCAACATATTGAGAATGGACAAAAATACTAGAATTGGGATTCTAGCAAAACCAGCTTAAGATCTACCAGAAAATATATGGCTATGAAATAGCGACCAATAGCACAGTAATAATTATAACTGGCAACAATGTGTTTGATACAAAATCTGAACATATTTGTTCTCCTGATTACAGATACGATGATTACGACTATGGTGAAATTAATCAGCTGTTGGACCGCAGCTTTAAAATTTATATCAAAACTGTAGTGTGTGCTCCCGAGAGGACCACAAATAGAATGTACGATAGCTTCTGGAGGCAATTCAAACATTCTGAGAAGGTATGTTGTATATGTGTTGTTATATATCTGTTTGTTGTGACTTAGTAGGTTGAATATTGTTTGACAGTTGCATTTACAAAAGCAATCATTTTCCTTACATTGACTTAAATATCTCTTTACACTTTCTCTAGCCTGTAAAATTTTTGTCTTTGCATTATTTAGTAGAAACCACAACATTACTGTATTGAAGAAAATTATGTAGGTCCTTGCCTCACCTGATAAAACCTAAGTCATTCCAGGCCTAAAGCCCGGTGGCGCAATGGTTAAAATGCAGTACTACAGGCTACTTTTGCTGACTGACTGCAATTTGGCAGTTTGAATCTCACCAGGCTCAAGGTTGACTCAGCCTTCCATCCTTCCGAGGTCACAGTCTGCAGTCCCGAGGACCCAGATTGTTGGGAACAATATGCTGACTCTGTAAATCGCTTAGAGAGGGCTGTAAAAGCACTATGAAGCGATATATAAGTCTAAGTGCTATTACTATCATAGCCTAATGAATATTACGCATATAGCTATGGTATGGGGACAGCAGTCTACCTAATTGACTGTTGCATAATATCCCTGTCATAATCAGTCATTAGTATGTTCATGGATTTCTGTCTGGCTTCTGTTCAAATATTAGCAACATTTCTGCATGCCTTAGAATGCTGTAATGCATAAAAGACACTAAACTCAACTTTTTTATTGTTTTCTTTAAGGTTCATGTCAATTTGCTTCTCATAGAAGCACGGATGCAAGCCGAACTGCTTTACGCTCTGAGAGCCATTACTCGTTACATGACGTGAAAACTTTGGGCAGTAATAATCGAAGGTGCCACAGGGGCAACTTACCAGGGCTTGTTAAGGGGCTTCTCCACCAGCAGGGGCTAAAAGCCATGAATCTTTTTGTGCCATAGTGTTTATTATTATTACTGCTGCTACTACTAGTATTATTGCAGCTCCTTCCTTAGTGGGATATTACTGCTGATGTTGAGGTTGGTGGTAGGACAGTTGTTCAGAGACACAATCAAACGGATTCCAGCCTGCTCTAGTTAGCACAGGAGGCAATGGCTTCTGGTAGACAACTAATTACTGAAATCCTCATGTGTTGTCAGAAATAAATAAGAATCTGGAAGATAAGAATTTTGCTTTTGATATAAGAGTGAATAATGTTTTTATAAAAGTCCTGATGCTGCTGAACGTGCTGGTTAAATGAAGAGACTAGCAATTCCAGTTATTAAGCTATAAACAAATGCAAGCAATGCTATCGTCTGAGCCTACATTGTATGTGATTTTAGAGAAGCTCCTTGCTGATAATGCAGAGCTGAACAGGATGTTACATTAACAGTTTTGATTGTTAAAAGAATCTTTTGCTGTCTAGCTTGGTCTTATTATTTCAGACTGAGACAGTGCAAGACTATCAAAGCTGCTTAAAAACCTGCAACTTTGGGAAAAAACTGAATAGTTAAGAGCAAGGATAGATAATCTTATTTCTTCAGTATTCCTAGAAGCTATCAAAGATGTCGAAATATCCATTCAGGCCTCAAATAGCTTCTTACTAAAACCCTCATTTCTACAGTTTGCCCCTTAAGTAGCAGCTTACGTAGTTAAACAAGAAAATAGCATAACAACAAGAACAAAAACCCTGTAAGTGACTTTGATATACATGTGTGAGTGCGTGCATGTGTAAAATATATGGACACTTTTTGTATGAGATCTTTGTTAGTATTACTGGGTTGTTTAAATAAAAAAATAACATTTTCCTCTTTTTTTCATACTTCGTACACTAGTACCAGTATAATTCATTACAAAATAGACAAATGAATGCTGTGTCTGGTGTGTATTTCTAATTTGTGTTTGAGAGAAAAACGACAAAAGTTAAACTGCAATTCTTGACAGTTCAACAGGAAGCATCTGCTATTTCCTTTAGTCAAAAATGCAAGGCAAATGCTGATCCAAAACATATAAGCCAAATGTGCAATTTTAAAGTTGGCTTTGACTAAAAATACTAATTTTATTCCCAGCTCTTATGAATTTCATCTGTGAAATCAAATAACTATCTCGCTTTACCAGATTGGCTTATCAATAAAGGGACAAGGATTATAATTTTATCACATAAATACATTTACAATCGTTTAAAAGTAAAAATTTTCATTTATACTGTGATTTTCAATACATTTTTAAAATATTGGGTGGAGAATGTTAGTCTGAATCATCTAAAAATTCATTTTGAAATTGTTGACCAAATGCAATACTATTCTATATATTAAAACCTAACAAAATTATTTAACAATGAATGCTGTCTGAATTCCTTGATCAATACTTTATAACCATGGTAGTAATTTTTGCAAACTTTTATAAAATCTTAAATATAAAGCATAACATTGTTAAAAAGCTAAATGAAAAAGATACTCAATTCAGATGTTGCAATTAGTTTATTTTTATGTTTCCTAAATGCCATTGGAAATTTAACAAAAAGGTATTCTACAATGAATGTACATGCTACATAGAAAAATTAAAAGCAAAAGGCATTTTTCATGGAAACATACTGAAATGTTTTGATATCTAATGATTTGCAAAAGCAGCTGCAGAAGTGATTTGTGCATTGATTGATTCAACACCCATCTTGAAACGCAATATTAGGAACTCAAGTAATGATTTTCAGTTTTGAATTCTCTGGAGAAGTTTGTGTGCCACAGGTTTGAACTCTGTTTCCCAATAAAGTTTGTGATATTCTCTTAAGTCACTGTCAAAACTGTAAGCTAGTGCCAGGTCTTCATCTACAGCAAGAAAAAGAATGCCTACCAATCAGCATTAAATATAACTTAAAACAATTAAAGAGTTATTCACACATGTATTTGGATGTATCTGCTACCAACACAGAGAATAATCTAAAGCAGGAGTGTCAAATTCAAGGCCGGAGGCTTGGATCCAGCCCACAAGGTGCTTAAATCTGGCCCGCGGGGCCACCCTAGAAACAGCAAAGGACTGGCCCAGGCTGACCAGGTGCTGATTTACAATCTGGTAGCGGCTGGCAGTGTACTGGAGGAGGTCATGGCAGCTGAAAACGGAGCTCGGGAGGGCCGCATGAGCTCCATTTTCACTGGTAGAGTGCTAACAAAACTACTAGCAAAAGTGGCATTTGATCACAAGACAAGGAGGCACTGAGAAATGTTTCCCCTTTTGCATTTGAGCATTCAAGAAAAGAGAAAGGGAAAGACAAAAAAAAAGATGGGAAGAGAGCAAAGAAGGAAAAAGGAAAGAGGGGAGGGAAGAAGAAAGGAAAATGATGAGCGAGGGAAAAAGAAGAAAAGAGAAAGAAGGAAGGAATGTGGGATGCTGCCGGCATTACTATCAGTTCGGCGCGCACAAAAATTTGATCCCTCTTGGTGGTCTCCCATCCTATCACTGGGAATCCTTTTGTTACAAAGCTGGGTCTCCTTGCATGGAGAGGGAGTACTCCTCCCTCTGACATACACAGTTTGCCCTCCCACACACACCATGAGCAACATGGCCAAAGAGAGTGAACACAGCAGTAGCAGCCTCGAGGAGGTAAGTGCAGCCAGGCACCCCCTTGGAGAAGGGGGGCTGGGCTGTGGGGTCCTGGTGCCCTGGGCTCTGCCTAGGGCTCTGGACAGCCTGCACTGCCTACGGGGAGTCCTCTACATGGCCTGAGATGGCGAGGTTCCTTTGGAGGACAAGGGTTTGGCTCTCTCCCTGGTCTCGCCTTCCTCTGCTGGAGACGATCTCCCCAGCCCTGCCTGGGCCACCACAGCCATCTTCAACATGAGTGACATCAAGCTGG